TTCATAAATTCCCAAAATGCCCCAGAAGTCCAATAGTCAACCTTTGGTCAAAATCAAAGTCAACAGTCCATGTTGACTTGAACTCATCGAGTACAACCAGCCACTCGCCGAGTTCCTTGCATAACTCGTTGACTCGCCGAGTCACTTGAGTTACCCTTGCAACTCGCCAAGTTCACGCATGTCTAAAGGTTGGGAAAACCCTAGCTGACTCGCCGAGTCACTCTACTGACACGCCGAGTCTACGACAATCTTCAACGGTCTCACCGAGTGGACCATGCAACTCGTCGAGTCCCTTCAGTCCTTCATCCAAACAGATTCTTTTTAAGCCATGCTAAGGTTCCATATTGTAGATCCAAATCCCCAAGCCATGTTTATCACGTAAAGTTGAAAACTTTACGTGCATGCAAGGCTCTAGAGACTCAAAATGACAAATCCAAGCTTGCAATGGAGTTTTACACCTTAGGAGAGTCTCATTCTTGCAAAAGCTGGAAGCTTTATGAACTTTAGAGACCCAAGAGGGTCCAGATCTGAAGTTGCAACTTCAGATCTTAGCTCAAACACAAGAAAGGCTTCTTCATATGCTAGAAAAGCCCTAAAATCCGCCCAAAAGAGATCTTGAATGAAATGAGGTTAATATAACGGCTTAATACCTTCCAAGGGATGCCAACTGAGGTAGATCTCTGATTCTCACACGTTCCTTGCTTCTAATCACTTGTTCCCCAAGCTTTTCTCACCAAAATCCTTCTTCAAAGCTTAAGACACACAAATGGAGTACACTCACACGAGTTAGGGTTTATGGAATATCAAGAGGCTGTAAGGGGAGGTTGAGGAGGCCAATGACCCTTTAAATAGGGTGCAAAACCCCGGAAATTAGGGTTTCATCCTCCAGCTCCTACTCGTCGAGTCCCTTCTTGGACTCGGCGAGTCGGTCACTTAACACGTGGACCAACCCGCTGCTACTCGACGAGTCTGGCAACCAACTCGTCAAGTAGACTTTGAAATCATGAGAATTTATAGCCATAAATCAATACCTGAGAATTGGGGTGTTACAACTTTCTGTTTTCGTTCAAAGTTTGTCATGTCCGGATGACCCTCAGAGGTCCAGATTTAAGAGAGTCCAAGGAAAAGCAAGAAAAGATATCGAACGAGAGTTTGGAGCACTTAAAAAGCGTTGACAGATAGTTGCAAAAGCATCCATGTTTCGTGATATTTCTACTATGACAGAGGTGATGTATACATGTATCATATTGCATAATATGATAATAAAACATCAAGGAAACGCGATACGTGTTTACGACGAGAATAAAGTCATCCAAAAGACACAACCACTAGAATATGATGGTCAAGAATGGATACATAGAATGAGGATAATTCACAATATAGTAATCCATACCGATCTTCGCCGCCATTTGACTGATCATCTTTGGACGATGGACAATCTCGATCTAAATATGTCACCGGAAGACGAATTTGAAGGCCAATATTCGGAGGAAGACCCATTGCTTTAGTGTGTTTTTTTTAATGAAATGTGTTTTAGTTTTGAAGTATGTTTTTTATGTATTAAGCCGTGTTTCTAAGTATTAAGTCGTGTTAAGTCATGTTTGTCGTGGTTTGAATTATTAAATCGTGTTTTTAGGTATTTTAACTTTTAATTTATTTTAACTTTTTTAATTTAATATGAAGTGTTTGTGTTTTAAAAAATATAATTTATATTATATTAATTGTTTGTGGTTTAAAAAATATAAATTTTGTTTAATATTTATACATAAAAAATGTTCTATATTAAAATAAAGTAATTTAATTAAATTAGAAAAAGAAAATAAAAAAATAGAATGCTAGGGGTGTTACCACTCCCTACCAAATAGGGGTGAGCGCGGTACGGTTATTGGCCAAAACCTCACCACTAACCGCAAATGCGGTTAATCCATTTTCAAAACCGCTTGGTCCGGTTATTTTTGCGGTGTGGTTAGGTTTTTGTGTGTTTCGGTTATTAACCGCATGGATTTGGTGCGGTTATGTTGTGTGGTTTTTAATCGCACTTTAGAGTTCAAACAGTTTTAAGAGTTTAAACATATTACTTGTAATAATAAAAAACCATAAGGTATAAAACAATTAACTTAAATTACAAACAACTAATGTCTTAAAAACTTTAAATCACTAGTAATTAACAATAAATATCTTAAAATTGTCAAATTTCACCATTTTCCAAAGTTAAACATACGAAAAAACCAACACTTTTGTCTTCTAGAATTTTATCATTCTTTCATCCATGAAACTTGTCTTATTTTTAATATTTAATATATTAATAATTAATAAAAAAATGGTATATAATATATGCGGTGTGGTGCGGTTTTTTTTGCGGTTTTTGAATACTAATAACCACACCGCACTGCAAATTTCCGGTTTTTGAAAAACAGAGAACCTCACCATCGGTTTTTATTGCAGTTGCGGTTTATGCGGTTTTTGCGGTGCGGTTTTTGCTCACCACCAAATGCTAAGATTAGGTGTTAAATGGTAAAAATGAAGTCACACTCCAAAATCTGACGTGACAAGGTGTTAGGAGTGTTATCACTCCCTTAGCCTTAAAAAAACCTAGGTAGATGGATAATTTCCTTACTTCTACTTCACCTTTATTCTTAATTTGAATTATGAGTTTTATTTTATTTTATTTTTATTATTTTTAAAGGTACTATTACATTAAGTGAATAACATTCTTATGCGTGATTTATCACATTTTTAGATACATTTTTATTGCATTCCATATATTTATATCATGCATATCATATTATTTTATGAAATGCATGTTATGGGACAATTCACTTTGGGGTATTTTTGGTTGTTTTTATAGGTTTGAAGCCATTGCAGGGATAATCAAGTACCTTGTCATAATTTTGGACGCTCGTGGCATGATTTTAAACATTGGGGGTGAAAGTTAGAATACAAAGTACAAAACGAATGTTTATTATAAGTGACACTTACATCATCATCATCATCATTGCAATGTGCATTCTAAGATCATAAACATTAGAACTTAGAATTACATGTTAAATTTAACTATTAAACGCATTTGGTTAAATTCCATAGATGGAAGAGATGTTAGAATGGCTAAACATCTTGTGATAATACAATTCAATGTTTAAAGGATCATTGCAATATAATTATTGATGATCATAAATTAAATTAACAAAATATAACATTTATATTGAAATGCATTGAATTTATTTTTAAAACACATCATGCTCGTAGTAGCAGTAGTTTCTAAAATCAAATTCCCTAACCTTTTTTTATTTTTTATTTCATGTAAATATTGAACATCTTTGATATAATTTGTTAATTCATATGCATGAAGAAACAAACTTTACTTTGATTTATATTAATCCTTAATTCTGGTTCATTTTTTTTATCATTATTTAACTATTATATTTGTTGGATTCGACACCTAAAATGTTACTCTAATTATATTATATAGTATCATAATCATATTACTACATTAGTTGTTTTTTTTTTTTTTCGTTTCATTTGTACTTTAAAATTATTTATTTTTTCTATAGCCTAGCGGTGTCAAGTGTTGCTTTCCCTCATTGAGATCGAAGATTCAAGTCTTGTTGGAGACATATGTGGAAATATAAATAGTTTAAGAGTAGATTAGATTTGCAGTTTAAAAAAAAACCATAATGTTTTTTTAATCAATTTAATAAGATCTTTATATATTGTGATGTTTAATTTGTGAAATTCTATAATAAAGATTTTAAGGTTCAAAAATGATTGTTCAAACTTCAAATAATACGATTAACGTCCACATGATAACCTCTAGGATGGGTTCGGTATGGCCTTCCAAATAATACCATATACCATTTTTAAGATATTTAGTTATATACTTTAATTCTGGGCCATGGTTTCTTTATTAAATATAGTTATTAATTCTATAAGATTACATATCGAAACAATTCATGTATCATTGTATCTTATTGTACAATATTCTTCTATCTTCTATGGCATTTCCTTGGTCATGAGTGTACTTGAGAAATGAAACATTGCCTCTATAAAACTAGTAGTATCAAATAAACAAGTATTTATTTATAAATAGTTAAATATGTATTAATCACTTTTAATTAACTTTAAGTTTAAAAATTTACTTAATTAACACTTGAAAAATTAATCATCAAATTAATATCCAATTATCAAAAGAAATCTTATTTGTAAACAACAAAATTCCATATTTTATAATAATTTGTGATAAAGGTCATTACATGTAAACAAAATTGCTTATTTATTATAAATTTTATCGGGAAATCTTCGGAAAAATCATAATATTTTACCATAATTTACGAAAAAGTCCCAAACTAAAAAATGTTTATGAAAAAGTCCTAATTACCGGAAAAAATGACGATTTGACCCTTTTTTTCCGGTTTATCGGTTTCAATACTTATCTGGTTTCATTAAAGTCCCATTATTTTACCATAATTTTCATTAAAGTCCTATTATTTTACCATAATTTGGGATTTATTCGTAAATTATGGTAAAATAATGAGACTTTATTAAAACCGGGTAAGTAATGAAACCGGTAAACCGGGAAAATGGGCCAAATCGTCATTTTTACAGGTAATTGAGATTTTTTCGTAAGAAAATTTTATTTTGGGATTTTTTTCGTAAATTATGGTAATATATTGGGACTTTCCGGAGATTTTCCAATTTTATCCCAAAAAAAGCAAGACTTTTTATTTTGTTTAAATTGCTCATTTTTTATGCTTGGCAAGATTTGAGCTTCTTAACATCCCACAAAATTTTGACCAATAACAAGAAGATTCCCCTTCCCCTTCCCCACCCCTACCCCTACCCCACCCCACCCCACCCCACCCCATGGCAATGTTATCCTTGTGAACTCTAGTTGCTTAACAAATTTCTTCATCATATTCTTGCAGAATCTCTCTATAAAATCGCAATATTGAACATCATTTTCCAATCATTTAAAACCCAAAGAGCTTTTGAGAAATCCTCCCATGGAGTTTTCTAACCTTTACGATGATATATCATCTGTTGTTGAAGAAACCAACAGTAGTTTCGACACTGTTTGCAGAAACAGGAGGCGAAATTACGATGAAGAAGATGATGATAACAATGATGATGAAGGGAAATTTAAGTCTAAGAACCTCAAAGCAGAAAGAAAAAGACGTGAAAAGCTCAAATCCAGGATGCTACAATTACGATCTCTAGTTCCTAAAATAACAAATGCAATGATTCCAAACGATAGCTTTTCTATTTTTTGTATTGTTTTTGCTTCGATTATTACATTTTGTTTGTCAATTGATTAAAAGGAAAAACTTTCTTGATTTCAGTTGAACAAAGAAACGATCATAACTGATGCTATTGATTATATCGAGGAGCTTAAAATTTCCGTGACAAATCTGACTAACAAGATACATGAAATGGAAGTTGAAATGGCAATGGACGAATCATTTGATATTATCCAACTTTGCCCTCAGGAAAAAATGAAAAATTGGGGTATAGAGGTTAGATATCAAAATAAAACCATAACTCATAACTTAATTAACATCAGTGATATAACATATAACGTGTATCATGTTGATGTGAAAATTACAACTTATGTGTAATAAAATTTTATTATTACTTAAATACATTCGTAACTTAATTACATCATAACGTGTATCACTGTTGATGCGAATAATTACAACCTATGCGTAATAAGATTTTATTATTACTTACATACGGTGTATGATTAAATATGATGTTGTTTTTATGTAGTTGGAAGTCGAGGTGAGCCGTATCAATGAGAATAAGTTGTGGATGAAGATAATTTTTGAGAAAAAAATAGGAGGGTTTACAAAATTGATGGAGGCAATGAGCATGCTCGGGATTGAAGTTGTTGATATAAGTGTTACAACCACAAAAGGGGCAATTCTTATTACTTCATGTATTGAGGTACATGTAATTTCTTCATTATTTACAACTTCTTCTACATTACATGCATACATATATATTAACATGTTATAATTTCTATGAATTTCAGGGAAAATTGCTTGTTCCTGAGCGAGTTCGAGAAGAATTACTTGACGTTATTAAAGTTATATAGTCTAGTAGAAAGCATATTATATATATGGGAAAATGCTGAGTAATATAACTAGTAGTATTATTGGGTGTCTAGCATTGTAATCTAAGTTTTTTTTGTCGTGAAACTAAAAAAAATGATGAACGATTATGATTTAAATTCGAGTAAAACCAAAAATAAAATTTAAATAACTCTTATTAAATATTTTATGAGATACTACCATTCTAAATACAACCTTCCCATGTTAATTTTTTCCCAACACATTTCTTTGGCAGCTTTCACAAGTTTTAAAGATTCAAAGCTAAAGACACATATATCCCACCAAACACGCTTAAAAAAGTGAGCATGACCCACAAGACCCCAAAAGACCCTTTGTCAAAATTTGTATGTATAAATTTCACCATTATTGACAACATGAGAATTCACATTGGAATATTTCACATATTTGATATGGTTATCCTAAGGATTCTTGTTGTTTCCATTATGACATTCACTATGCTCTTAACAAAGATCAATGCACTCGAAGGGCTAGAGAACGGTTTTGTTCGGGTTGTCAGTTAGGCCAACCACCATATTCGTCGGCTTCTGGACCTCATTCAAGTGTGGATACAACGGAAGGTATGGGGATACATAAATCCAATAAGTTGAAAGTTGTTCCTGATGTTATCATTGGAGGATATCTAATGGCTTGTGTTGTTGCTGTTTTATTGTATATTCAGGTCACAAGAAGAACAAGTGAAGTGCATTCTTAGAACTATTTCCTTTGTTGTTTTTCCATTATCTTATGTAGCTATTAAATAGTCTTTGATATGGAAAATCTAAAACGTAAAATTAATTTAATGGATGAAGATACATTCCTAATCCTAATATAAAATAGATGGTATATTGTGAACCACATGCATGTCTTATAAATTAAGAAGCTGCAAATGTCATTTTCCAATGTATGTGGAGGAGATTAACAACACCAAACATTACAAGTACAACTTTTTTTCAAGAGCAAATTATACTGAAAAATAGCAAATATGATCAAAGGAGTGGAATCATTCTGGAACGTGTGATGTTTCAACAAAATGAATTAGATGTTTGGAATGAATTAGATGGTTGGTAATAAACTGGTTCCAAACCCCGTTGTTGATGTTTGGAATGAATTAGATCAGAAAGTTGTTATTCTTCTTCATGTCTCTCTTATAGAAGGAACCGCTGCTGAGATCATGGGTCTATCCACTGCTCTTGAAATCTGGAATGCTCTTGAAACTGCCTACAATAATCATTCGGTAGAAAGAGTTAATTCTCGTCGTGACAAATTGCGTAGTATCTCCAAAGGTACCAATTCAGTTGCTGATTTTGCCCGCAAATTTAAAGGTATTTGTGATCAATTAGTAGATATTGCTAACCCATTGATGAGGTTGACAAACTTCATTGGTTTTTGTGCGGATTGGGACCCTCCTTTAAAACTTTTTCCACCGCTATTTGCACTGCTAAAACACCACCTCTGTTTCATGACCTCTTGTCTCAATCTGAGAGTCATGATATGTTTCTCAAGTATGTTCATGCTACATCCCTACCTCAAGCAGCCTTCACAGCTCAACAAAGTAGATCTAAATTTGGATCCTGGTGTCAAAACCGTGGCAAAGGAAAAAACTACACTGGCTCTTCTCATGGACATAACAACGGTGGTGGTCATGGTGGTGGTAGGCGTCCACCTTATTGTCAACTTTGTCACACTAATGGATACTACGCCCCTGCTTTCACTAAACTGCATTCTTTTGCTGCTAATGCACCTGTTTCTGATGAAAAGTTGGCCAAATCATTTCATGCTCAGTGTAATGTTGCTCTTGATGCTCCTGATTGGTATGTTGATTCAGGAGCCACAACTCATATGACCCCGACTCAAGATAATGTTACGCATCAGGCACCGTACAAAGGTAAAATGCATGTAACCTTTGGTAATTGTCATTTTTAAATGTATCTCATATTGGGACATCAAGAGTTTCTAAACAATTATTATTGAAAGACATTTTGGTTGTACCACATTTGACAAAAAAAATATGCCTGGTGGATTTAAAAAAAAATGAATCCACAACTCGGGGATATAGGAACTCCTTTCATAGTTGGAGTAAGTAAGAAGGAGGTTTGAATTTATGGTAAATAAATAAGGTTTTTCAAAGTTATTACATATTTTATTTATTCTTATCTTATAATCATTACGTATATTTTAAATAAAAAACGGTGGTAAAAAAATCTTTTAAGTAAATAGAACTTTTTCATATATAATGGGAGATTCAAATTCTTAAATCAAATGTGGTGGATATTATGATGCAATTTTAGAGCTTAGCATTATTCCTAAAAGTTGAAATTCTTTGTTTATATTGCACTATTTTTTTTAATTATTTTTAAAGGATTATAGACTTGTAAGTCTTATACGTTGTCGATACAAGATCACTTTATACGTTGTCGATACAAGATCACTGCAAAGTTTTTAGCCAAAAGACTTTCTGGGGCTATTGGGGAAGTGATAAGTGTAGGGTAATCCAATTTTATTAGAGGCCAAAAAATTCTTAACAATCTAATAATGTTGAACAACATTTGGGGTTAGAGAGAGAGAGAGAGAGAGAGAGAGAGAGAGAGAGAGAGAGAGAGAGAGAGAGAGAGAGAGAGAACTCATAGTTTTCCGAGAACCAAAAAACTAAAAGTGGAACGTTAGATAAAAAATTGGAGGCGATGATTAAAGGTGTCATTTTTGTAATTATGAACACGTTTATTGGCATATTTGGTTCTTAAAAATAGATGATAAGTGTAGTTTAGATATATAAAAAAAAAAGATTTCCCATAAATTATCTTAATTAATAATATTTTTTGCCCACATCTCTCTCTCTCTCTCTCTCTATCATAGTTTCTCACACCTAAAACTCACACAATCTGTTATCGAACCATCTCCCCCATCATGTTCTTCACTTTCACTGACTATCCTACTCCGATGACTCATCTCCACCGACCGATTCACATCTTCGACGATCGATTAGAATTTCCGAATAATCTCCGATCTCATCTCCGGTCGATTTGAATCCACAGACTCCGCTCCTCCTCAGTTCCATCCAGATCTAGATTTAATCATCTTTTCATCATCGATCTCACATCGCTGTCCGCTTTTGTATCCACCGCCTCTACGGTTATGTGGCAGAATATGGACTTGGTATTGTCCATCAAGTTGGTATAAAATGCATCAAAGGAGGGTTGTACCTGTTTGGGACCGTTCATCCAAATCCATTCACATTCTCTCTCCATCTCTATCAAACCTCGCAAGAAAAGAATTATTTATCGTTTAGGTAATTAATCAACAATTTCCCCTATTTTGTATACTGCATTCAATGCTTAATATATATAATTCGTAGTTAATCGAATCCGACATTTAATTTCCCATCCATTGGTGTTGATTAATTCCTGAAAATCTCATTGATAGGGGTTTTGTTTGTGCATTGTAGAATAAACATAATTTGACGTTATATTTTTCTTTTAGAGTTGCAGTTCGTGTAGAAATTGATGGAGTTCTCATCTTTATGTTGTCTATGAGTTTTTTAGGGGCGAATCGATCAGTCTCATATATCTCTTCAACGTCAGTGGACGATTAGCGTAATGCACACCATATGTTCGACTATATGTATTAGTCAAATTGTTCACAATCTTATAAATGTTGTTTTGATTGATCTTAGGAAGCACATGAAATAGGCGAAACTTTCACAAGCAATAAACCAAGATATGAAAAGAACATACATGTTTTAAAATACGACTATAAACCTAAAGTTGAATTCAGAATTTCAGATATGATGTATGTCGACTAGATAAACAGTTGGCCACCTAAAATGTTTTATGAAGCATATGTTCTCATTCTCTTTTGTAGTGGACCTTCCAAACGCTATTACAACTTACAATTTGTTTCAATACTAGAATTTGCAATTCAACATTCAACTTTTTTTTTTCAATATCTCAAAACAAAAAGCTTAATTTTCTCTCCAGTTCTTCAACATATTCAAGATCCCAGATCACGAAGTTGTAAAACAAGTGGTAGGAGCTGGTAAACTCGGTCCTCTTGTAGATGGTTCAAGTCGTTTCTACAAGCCACTCATAGATGGAAAATGTGGACTAGAAGAAGTATCCTTATATGAATCCTTATCTTCCAACACTCAAATCCCATAAAATATCCGTAAGTTATTCCTTATCTTTTATGGCACCAAAATTATGAAAGCATCAACTGGAACAGAAGAAGATTTTATTCTCTTTCGCTAATGTGTAGTCGATTTCATCACTGGTCATTAATATCAGCATCATCTCAACTTTTCTCTATTTTCTGTCATATTTTTTTTGTGGATAATGTGTCACATCCCAAAATACGAAGGTAAAAGTTTTATTTTTAAAACAACCAAATCACCCGTTTATCATTTACTCAAACCCTTAAAGGTATTTTATAATAAAAACAGTTATCAGAGTACAATCCCAAAATATCAAGGTAGAGGAAAATATGGGTGTATGCGTTGCGATCAAGCCGGGTCATTCCCTTTCAAACCAGAAGTACCTGAAACCATAAAAAACATCTATAAGCACAAATCTTAGTGAGTTCCCTAAACTAACCCATACCATACATAGTAAATCACATACTGGGCCCCCACCCTCCATCGGGCCCGACCCGGTATCGAGTCCCACTCGGCTTCGGGCCCCTCCTGGCATCGATCCCCGCTCGGTATACATATCTATTATTCTTAGGCCCTGCCTGGCATGGGACCCTGCCCACTATACACACAAACATATATCACATAATCATACTAACACATACAATGATCATAAAACAATACCATATGATACAGTCATCGGGCCTCGCCCGACATCGAGCCCCGCCCGACATACATAATAGCGGATATCACATACAAAGGGTCACACAGACTCCTAGCATCCTAACATAGATAACAAGGGCCAACATTGGTGCCTTAGAACCGCTAAAACCAGTGAGGAAACTCACATCAGATAGCTGAAACCCACGGATAAAACTCTGACTGCAGATCCGCTAAAATCCCCGCACTATCAAATACCAATTGACCACAAATTAATAATTGAGTCCTGAATCACACTAAGAGTCCAAATTAGGGTAAAAGTCTTTTTTACCCTTCCTCTAACTTGGGCCAAAGCCAAGGCCCAATCTAAATGTCCCAAAAGCCCAAAATCCAAAATAAGTACCTAAGGCCCAAATATAGCCAAATTTTCCAAATTCGGCCCAATCCGTTTCATGGGTATTCTCTCAAGAAATCCAAACAAAACTTAACATCCCAACCAATAATTCCGATGACCCAAAATGGCCCAAGACAATCAAGCCCACTCAAGCCTAAAACCGAAGCCTAAAGAAATCCAACCTGCTGAGTACGCGGGGCGTACTCAGCCTGTACGCAAAGTGTACTGCATAAACAGCTTGTACGCGCAGCGTACAAACTTGTACGCCCAGCGTACTCACCAACAACCAACTTTTCCGTTTTTGCTCTTAACCTATTAAGACTTTGATCTAAATGTAGATCTGACTTTCCTAAGGTGGTTAATCGGTGCATGGCTTAATGGGGATCTAGAGCTCAAAAGAGCTTAATAAACGACTTAATACATGCATGAGACCAAAACCACAATAAAGTTTGCACCTTTATGCCCAAGGAACCCTTAATATGTCCAGATCTATAAGGCTAAGCTCCAAAAACGGACTTAACTCCCAATCACCAACCAAAAGAACTAAGAATGACCAAAACATGCCAAGGAGTAAGATCTATGAAATGAAATAGCAAGGTTTGAACTTTATACCTCACAAGCCACCAAAAGAATATGATAAAGTTGGATCTCAAAGCCCTCCTCCAAAGAATGAGTCTTCAAGCTTATTCTTCTCTTACACAAACCACCACAAACATTCTTCCAAGCTTCAAAACTCACTCAAGCACTCTAGGGTTTCAATATAGGTTAAAGGAGATGGAGGTTGACCTAAAATGGGAAGGATATAATGTTGCTTATATATGGGTAAAACCCCAAAATTAGGGTTTCATGCTGAAGGGAGTACGCCCTGCGTACCCCTTAGTACGCTTTGCGTACTCAAGGAGAACCCGTGACCAAGCCATTCAGTACGCCCCGCGTACTAGATGATCCTCCACAACACTTATCTTCATTTAGCCATAACTCCTTCGTTGTAAATCCGTTTCCGATGTTCCTTATCTTTACGGAAAGGTGACGAGAAGCCCTACACTTCTATCAACTCTCTCTTGCCTTAAAACTTCCCACACAAAACTCGAAATTCAGAAAGGACCGAGTTATCAAATGACGATTATGCCCTTGGGTTCCGAAGCACAAACGAACACTTGGATTACTTAATCTATAACTCCCCATCCAAAAAGGGCCAATACCCTCCTTCCCTAAGGCCCTAAGCCTTATGATAATTGGGCCACAACCCCAAATAATGAAATGATTCGAAACCGAGTGTTACAACTCTCCCCCACTTAAATTAGATTTCATCCTCGAAATCATTCCTTATCATTCCCGGCACACCATATAGCTTGAACAACACGATCACAACCCCACGCATACAACAGCCTTCCCAAAGGCAACTGAACTCAACCCTAGCAAAACTCACAAACCCGAAGAAGAATCAATCCTTAATCCCATGCAGAAAACCATCTCTACTTTCCCTGAAACCTGAAATCTTGAACTGGTCTGACTCCCCGACAGACCGCCTATACTGAACCACTACCAGGTCAAATCCTCCTTGAAGTCCAGACTTAAACAAAACGCTTCCAACCCTTGATTGACTTGATGCTTCTATTGGGAACAAAATCACTGACCATTTATTGTTGCAGAACACTTATACTTGACAGAAGGCTCAGATAATCCTTCGAGTAGAAGACTCAT